GCGCTGTCTTGGGGGATTCGAAGAAGATTCAGATATCCTAGCTGTAGTCTGTAGGGCTGTTTTGTCCAGCTGTTTGGAATGTAGGATCAGCTTGTACTCTGTTTCAGGCGGTCTGGTGTGATCAAACCACATTAGTCTGGAAGGAATCCACATCTTTTCATTTTCTGTGGAAACAAAAATAGAAATACTTTTCCCCAGTAACTTGTTCTTCAACTTATATTTTGGAGTCAAAGCGTTTTTTTTTTTTTTTGTTTGTTTTGTTTTTTTTTTTTATTTTACATGTCGATCCCAGTTCCCTCTCCCTCCCTCCCTCCCTCCCCCCAAGCCTCCCTCCCTCCTTCCCTCACTTTTGCCCTCTCTACCCTCTCCCATGCACTCTAAACACCCTCCCTCCCAACCCCCCCACCACAATACAATATGTAGGGGAATGCCATCCAGTTGGGGTCATGTAGATCTGACAGGTCCTGTGAAGTAGGGACTAGGGCTTCTCTCCTATCTCTATAATAAGGCAGTTATCCCTCCATGGGGGATATGTTTGCAAAGTCCTTTTGTGCACCAGGGATACATCCTGGCTCCACTGTCTGAGGTCTCTTAGACTGCTCAGACCTTCTGGCTGAGACCCATATTCAGGGGGTCCGAGTCAGACCCCTGTTGGCTTCCCAGCTATCAGTCTAGTGGCCCTTAGCTCCTCCTTGTTCAGGTAAGCTGTCTCTATGTACTTCTACCGCATGGTCTTGTCCTCTCCATCTGCTTCTGGGTTCTAGTTTGACTCAGTGTTTATGTATGGGTGTTTGCTCCTGTTTTCAACAGGCATTAGTTGAGGACTCCATGGAGAAGTTAGTTGTTGATCTCACTCTCCGGGAAGGGCATTTATGATAGCCTTGGAAAGGCTTTTTTTTACAACCCTTTTCTATAAGGAAATATCTACCTTTGATGTTGAGGTTTGTTTCTTGTATGCAGAAGAAGAATGGATTCTGTTTTCTCATCCATTCTTTTAGTTTGTGTCTTTTTATTTGGAATTGAGTACATTTATTTTCAGAGATATTAATGACCAGTGAGTGTTAATTCCTGTTATTTTGTTGGTAGTAGTAGATGTGTGTGTTATTCTCTGCAGGGCTGAATTTGTGACTAGATATTGTGTAAATTTGACTTTATCATGGAATATCTTGCATTCTCCATCTATGGTGATGGAAAGTTATTCTGGGTATAGTATTCCTGGCTGGTATCTGTGGTCTTTTATCATCTGTAACATACTATTCCAGGCCCATTTGAATTTAGATTCTCTGTTGATAATGCCTTTATATATTATTTGACCTTTTTCCTCTTGCAGTTTTTAACATTCTTATTTCTATGTTTAGTGTTTTGATTTTTGTGTTGAGGGACTTTATTTTGTAGTCTAATATATTTGGTGTTCTGTAAGCTTCTAATATCATTATAGGCATCTCCTCTCATAGGTTAAGAAAATTTTCATATATATATATATATATATATATATATATATATATATATGTCCCTGATTGTATTCTATTTTGCCTATATTTTATACCACCAGAGAAACTAGGGTAGAAGGAAGAACCTAAGAGACAGAAGGAAAACGGGACAAGATCTTCTGAACATATTAGGAGTGGGGGAGCACTGAGTGGAGAGGGAGTTAGGAGAAAGAGAAGGGGCAGAGAAGAGAACTTCTGGGACCAGAAAGATTGAGTCAGGGGACGAATAGATGAGAGTGAAAAGAAAAAGAGAGAGAGACAGATACAATAATAGAGGGAGCCACTATAGGTTTGAAGAGAAAACTGACTCTAGAGAAATATTCAGAGACCTACAAGGATGACCCCAACTAACAATCTGAACAACAGAGGAGAGGCTACCTTAATTTCCCATCCCCAGTAATGAGATTGATAGCTAACTAATAGACCAGGCTACAGAAACCCAGAGACAACTGATCTGAACAAGGCAGAGCTCATGAACGCTCTGACTCTTAGCTGGAAAACCAGCATTGTATGGACTCAAACCCCTTGAACATGGGTCTCAGTCTGGGCAGTCTAAGAGACCTCTGACAGTGGAACCAGTATGAATCCCTGGTGCACAAAAGTACTTTGGGAGCACATTCCCCATAGTGGGATACTTTCTTAGCCTAGAGGCAGGAGGGAGGGCCTATACCCTAGTCCAAATGGCTTGACAGATTTTGATGATCCCTCCTAGGAGGCATCACCCTGTGGTGGTGGGATGGGAGGAGGGGATTGGGGGCATGGGAGGGAGGGAAGGGGGAGAGGTAACTGGGATCAGTATGTAAAATAAGTATATATATATATATATATATATATATATGTATATATAATATTTTTAAAGCCTTTGAACTGAGTTCTTCTCCTTTGATTCCTATTATTCTCCTAGTATCTCAGATTTCCTGGATGTTTTGTTTCAAGAATTGTTTAGATTTAACATTTTCTTTTATCAATGTATTTATTTATTGATCTTGTCTCCAATGCCTTTCTCTAGTTCATCCTGTATGCTGCTGGTGTTGCATGGGACTGTAGTACTTATTCATTTACATAGATTTCCCTCTCCAAATTCCCTGTTTGTGTTTTCTTTATTGTTTCTATTTCCATTTTCAGGACTTGAACAGTTTTATTCATTTCCTTCACCTGTTTTTTATTCTTGGTTTTCTTGGCTTTCTTTAAGGATTTACTCATTTCCTCCCATTGTTTGTATTTTCTTGTATTTCTTTTATAGATTTACTCATCTCTACTTAGGGGCTTCTATCATATTCATAAAGTTAGTTTTAAGGTCATTTCCTTAAGCTTCAGGTGTGTTTAAATATTGAGGATTTGCTGTGGTAAAATAGCTTGGCTCTGGTGGTTGCATGTTGCCCTGGCTATTGTTATTTGTATTATGCTGGCCTCTAAGCATTTGAATTTAAGATAATGATAGGTTTAAGTGTAAATTTCTGAGTTTTTCTTTGTGGTTTCTGTTTTCTCTGTGGTATTCTAGACTGAGTGGACTGTTGTTCTGGTGACTGGATAGTCCTCAGGTCTGGAGGGTCTCCACTGGGGATTTGGCAGCCTGTATGACCTCTGTTGTTTGGAATAAAAACATTCCCTCTGTGTTTCTGAAGTTCTAGCAGAGGGTGTATTCTCTGGGGTTCTGGATACTGATGTGGTCTCTAGGGTTCTTGATACCAGTATGGGCTATGGGGTTCCAGGTACTGGTATGCTGTCTGGGGTTCTGGATACCAGCATGACCTCTAATGGTGTAGGAGATTTTCAAAGGAGAGACCTAGAAAAATTAAACTAACTTGTCCAAAAGCAATATATACAAATATATTCACACATGATCAAATTGGAGATATGACATTTTTATTTAAATATATTTTAATATTCTTACATATCAATCCCAGTTCCCTCTCCCTCCCACCCCCATGCTCCCTGAAACCCCTCCTATACCATTCCCCACCCACTTCATATGGAGAGTGTGGCCTTCCAGTAGGGATCATCCAAATCTGTCAAGCCATTTGGAGTAGGGTCTAGGGCCTCTCTCCTATCTCTAGGCTAAGGAATTATCCCTCCATGGGGAATATGTTCCCAATGTATATTCATGCACCAGGGGTACATCCTGGTTCCACTGTCAGAAGTCCCTTAGACTGCCAGGCCTTTTACCTGACACCCATGTTCAGGGGTCTGAGTTAGTCCTATGCTGGTTTCCCAGCTATCAGTCTAAGGGACCATGATCTTCCCCCTGTTCATGCCAGCTGTCTCTGTGTGTTTCTGTAGCCTGGTCTTGACCCCTTTGGTCATTACTTCTCCCTCTCTGCAACTGGTTTCTAGGAGTTGGGCTCAGTATTTAGCTGTGGGTGTCTGCTTCTGTTTCCAACAGCTAATACATGTTGGTTCTAGCATGGCATTTAACTTAGTTTTCAATTTCATTATCAGGGAAGGACGTTTATAGTAGCCTCTCCACTGTTGCTCAGATTGTTAGTTGGGATCATCCTTGTAGGTCTCTAAACATTTCTCTAGTGTAAGTTTTCTCTTCAAACCTATAATGGATCCCTCTATTATGGTCTTTCTTTCTTTCTTTTTCTTTATCTTTTTTTTTTTTTTTTTTGGTCTTGTCTATTCTACCCCTGATTCAATATTCCTGGTCCCATATATTCTCCAATCCTCCCTTTCTCTTTCTCCTACGTCCTTCTCCACTTCCATGATCCTATTATTCTCAGGAGATCTTCTCCCTTTTCCCTTCTGTTAGGGACCTTATATGAATCTCTTAGGTTCCTCCTTGAATCCCAGTTTCTCTGGTGATGTGAATTATAGGCTGGCGATCTTTTGCTTTATGACTAAAATCCATGTATGAGTGAGTACAAAACCAAGTTCCTCTCATTCTGATGGGTTACCTCACTCAGGATGGTTTTCTTCAAGTTCCATCCATTTGCCTACAAATTTCAAGATTCTATTTTTTTTTGCAATGAATAGTATTCCATTGTGTAAATGTACCATATCTTCTTTATCCATTATTCAGTTGAGCAGCATCTAGGTTTCTTTCAGTTTCTTGCTATTACAAATAATGGTGCTATGAACGTAGTTGAACACATATCTTAGTTGCATGGATGTGGATCATTTGGGTTTATGCCTAAGAGAGGGATTGCCAGGTCATACAATAGACTGATTCCTATTTTTCTGAGAAAGCACCATACAGTTCCCCAAAATGGCTGTACAAGTTTTCAGTCCCACCAGCACTGGATGAGTGTTCCCTGTTTTCCACATCCTCTCTAGCATAAGATGGCATTGGTGTTTCTATGAGGGGAGTAAGATGTTATCTCAGAGTTGTTTTGATTTGCATTGCCCTGATGGATAAGGATTTTGAGAACTTAAGTGTTTTTCAGTCATTTTGCATTCCTCTATTGAGATTTCTCTATTCAGTTCTTCACACTACTTTTTAATAGGGTTATTTGGTGTTTTATAGACTAGTTTCTTGAGTTCTTTGTATAATTTAGAGATCAGCCCTCTAAAAATGTGGAACACTTCACAAATTTGCATGCCATGCTTGCACAGGGGCCTTGTTAATCTTCTTTGTATCATTCCAGTTTTAGTATATGTGCTGTTGAATTGAGCACTAGTGATACATTATAAATAGATACAATGAAGTACTTATGATACAATTTAATAATCGAAAATGGCTTTTAGAGCAAGTCTGTGCAATAAAAAGTGCCAAAACATGTTTGCTTTAGAAAGATGATACACATTATGTGTCCCTTTTCCAAAAGAAGTCTTCCATATTTTGTAGGTTTTCTGAATTTGGAAATTTATAGATTTTACTGGTTGATTATCCCTATAAGAAAGTCTAAAGTCAGAAACATTTTTTAGCATGATTTCATAATCCAAAAGGTTTCATCTTTTTATTGCCCTCTATTTTTACAGATACCCAGATGAGTAATGGAAGGCATCATAAATTTTGAGGAGAGAGGCAACTAAGAATTCATTGAGGAGTTAAGATAACAGTGTCAGAGAGAGGGCTATGGATATAGATCAGGGGTATAGCACATTTTTGACATGTAGAAAGATCTATATTCAACTCCCAGTGCAGTATGTGTTGGCAGCCAAAGATTCCTTTTTGATAGTGACTGAAAACTGTTTCCTCATAGTCCTATGTCAAAATTCCTGATTACTGCTTTCTCTTAAAATTATTCCTTGCAAGGTGTAAGAGTGTTTTATAGAACCTACCCTCTCTATATGTATGCATGTAAGTGCATGTATGTGTATACTTGTTCATGCATGTCTTTAAAATATAATTATATAAATACTGACTTTATGATGTATTAACTCTGGCTATTACTTAGAAAAATAACTATCTGAGTGGCATCCCCAATAGGAAAGGTAACATAAGATTTGCCCATATAACAGAAATGCTATATATAGATTGAACAATATCTTTAATGATATGGTAATTAAACCATGTTGGACAAATATAGTCAAGAGAAATTTAATATTAGATTGCTAGAATAAAATTAAGTGTGTTGTTGAATGAAAATATATGAAGATTATAGGCGACAGCTGCTTTTATATTGGCACAATTTGTTATGTTTTAATTCAAAGTTGTGCCTTATGTAATGAATTCTAAATTAGTATTATTATTCACGTGGATTATGTTGGCCAATTAAAATCATAGCAATACCTTAAATACCTTAAAAGATTAGGTAACAGTTGCTCCCTAACTATGAGATGTTACCATCATTTTAGATACTAGAGACAAGGTTAAATGAATCTTAGAGAAGGTATCAATAACCAGATTCTTTAAAAGAATATGAAATGACAGATTGATTAATTCTTGTTCAAGATTTCAAAATTTACAAAAGTTTTTAGTTTTTATTTTATTTAAATAACATTTTTATTTGCTTTACATACCAACTACAGTTTCTGCTCTCTACTCTTCTCCAAGTCCCTCCCGCTGCTTTCTGTCTGTCTAACCACCTCTGTATGTACTCTTCCTCCGTCTCCATTCAGAAATGGGCAGACCTCTCAAAGCATAGCACATCTGATGCTTTATAGCTTCTGAGTCTTTATGTTCAGTCCTTTAAAAGTAGTAGCTCTCAAATATTTGAACCAAAACATGTACATTAAATAACACTAATTCCATTAGTGAAAACTCCGAACATTCACTGTGTTCATGTGAATCCTGTAAGTCTGTTTCAGGAGTCTGCTCTTTCTGATTAAATTCTGAACCAGACCCCATAAGAATTCCTGATTTTAGTAAGTGACTGCTAATGCCATAATATATTATGTAATACCTGTGTTGATCTAGGTTAATGTGAATTAAAGCCATCATAACACACTTCAATACAACTGATACATACTTTAAATGGTACACTTCTTTCATCTTTCTTTATGTGCTAGCTATGGTGGTTTTTGCTTATTGTATTTCTTTTTGTCAGTTTTGGTGCTTATTGTTTAGAAACTTGTTCTTTTCTAATGACATGCATACCAGTAAGCAGGTAAGGTGGGTAGGGGATGGGAGGAGGGGAGGAAGGGGAACTGAAATCCAGATATAATGTATGATGACAGAAACTATTTTCAATAAAGAAAAAAAAAGAAACTATATTGTTTTTTTTTTTCTTTTCGCAGTCCAACAATAAAACCAATACAAAGCTCCTAAATCAGAAATTCTTTGGATATATTGCAAAGAGGTAACCATTCGGTGTCAATTCAATCATGAATGAAATGCTATTATATGAGAGCATCTCCCTAGGTTGTAGTGGAGTAATGGAGCATAGGATTTACAGATTCTGCAATAACTGAGAATTTGAAAAGATATGTAGCTTTCCCAACAACTTTGTTTAATGAAACCTGCAGTTTATGTTATGAAAGGAGCATATTGTTTTCTTTTCATAAAAGTCATCTTGTTATCTGTGTATTTAATAGTTTGCAATATGGTTGTTATGCATCCTTTTTTATGGTATGTTCTGAAGTGAAGTGGCAAATTGAAAATATTTTCATGCTAAATCAGCAAAGATGGTGTCCTCTAAATCAGGGTGAGTCTCCTGTTCCTGTCATTCTACTGCTATGTGTCTGATGCTGTCTTTCTCTGCCTAGTTGTCAGAGATTTTCAGTTAGTTTCACTTTGCCAGGAAGTGAAAAACTACAGATCATTTTATCATGAGAGGGCTTTTCTGAATTTAATTGAGTTTGTAAGAGGACTAGAGTTTGAACTGCTTGGTACTACTCTCCACACTTGGGTCAGAGATCTAGAGTAGCAACTTTTTTTGGCTAGTCTCATCCCCCAATATCATAATAATATCATGATAAAAAATCATTGCATAATCCTAACCAATTTGTCAGAAATGCTTCTCATAACATTGCTTCTATAGAAGATAATATTTTTGTCTCTTTATTTTTTAGTATTTTTTTATTTTATATAACAAAATCCAATTAAATGAAAACAAACATTTATACACAATATTTGGGAATTTGGGCATCGTTCTTTCCAAACTACTTCCTGCTGGTAAGGGGCGCTGTCATGGGGAAACGAAGAAGATTCAGAAATCCTGGCTGTGGTATGTAGGGCTGCTTTGTCCAGCTGTTTTGAATGTAGGATCACCTTGTGTTCTGCTTCAGGCGGTCTGGCATGATCAAACCACATTAGTCTGGAAGGAATCCACATCTTTTCATTTTCTGTGGAAACAAAAATAGAAATCCTTTTCACCAGTAGCTTGTCCTTGAACTTAAATTTTGGAGTCAAAGCATTTTTTTAATTTAATTTATTATTTTACATGTCGATCCCAGTTCCCTCTCCCTCCCTCCCTCCTTCCTTCTCTCCCTATTACCCTCTCTGCCCTCTCACATGCACTCTAACCACCCTCCCCTCCCATCCCCCCACCCCAATTCCATATGTAGGGGAATGCCATCCAGTTGGGGTCATGTAGATCTGACAGGTCATGTGAAGTAGGGTCTAGGTCTTCTCTCCTGTCTCTAGACTAAGGCAGTTATCCCTCCATGGGGGATGTGTTCGCAAAGTTCTTTTGTGCACCAGGGATACATCCTGGCTCCACTGTCTGAGGTCCCTTAGACTGCTCAGTCCTTCTGGCTGAGACCCATATTCAGGGGGGCCTGAGTCAGTCCCATGCTGGCTTCCCAGCTATCAGTCTAGTGGCCATTAGCTCCTCCTTGTTCAGGTAAGCTGTCTGTATGTGTTTCTGCCGCATGGTCTTGTCCTCTCCATCTGCATCTGGGTTCTAGTTCGACTCAGTGTTTATGTATGGGTGTTTGATCCTGTTTTCAACAGCCATTAGTTGAGGGCTCCATGGAAAAGTTAGTTGTTGATCTCACTCTCTGGGAAGGGCGTTTATGATAGCCTTTCCACGGAAGCTCAAATTGTTAGTTGGGAGCAGTCTTGTGTTCAATTTTATCTTCAAACCAATATTGGCTCCCTCTTTTATGTTCTCTCTCTCTGTCTCTGCCTCTCTCTCTCTCTCTCTCTTTCCTATCTTCTATTCCTAACCAGGCTCAATCTTCCTTGTCGCACATGTTTTCCTTTCCTCTCCCTCATTTTCTCCTACTTCTCTCTCCATTTGCTGCCCCCCCCACTTTACCTGAGCTCTGGGGGACTTGTCCCTTCCTAGTTCTGTGAGGGACTTTATATGAATCTCTTAAATACACCTTGTATCCTAGTTCCTCTGGTGATGTGAATTATAGGCTGGTGATCCTTTGCTCTAGGTCTAAAATCCATATATGGGTGAGTACATATACTGTGTTCCTCTTTTTGTGACTGGGTTACCTCATTCAGGATGGTTTCTTTAAGTGCCATCCACTTGCCTGTGAATATCAAGATACCTAATATTTTGAGTGTAAATTTTATTTTGAATAATTAATTCAAATAACAATGAATTTGATTATTTTTTACTCTCTTTTGAGTGGCAATGTAATGTACAAGAATGCTATAAACTTCAGACTTAATTAAAATAATGTCAGTTGATTTTGTGTTTGAATTGTCTTCCTCCTTTTTTATCTTTTAATAGAAAAAGACTAAAGACAAAGAGAAGATTGTTGACCAATTTGTGTGTGTGTGTGTATGTGTTTTATCATCATTGCTTATATTTAAATTACTTAAAATTCACTGAAATTAGTGCTAATAGTAACCATCCCAATAAAGCAGATAACTGAACTCAACACAGTCTTGTAATGTAAATGGTTTGATTAAGCATGCAGAACTACCAAACCATTTAAGCACTGATGATATTTGCTTTTCTTGAATTTGCAAGAAGCTCACAGCTTACAAGCTGCACTCTCTTTCCTCTCAAACATGACCTAAAGTGTTCATGCTCCTCAGACCCAGCTTCATCTAAGCCATGTGTTTTCTTGGAACTATGTCATATAAAGTACTTCTCTCTCTAACTAGTATCTTTATTCAGGGTGCTGTGCAACTTTGTGATTTACTGGCAAAATAAGCTAATGCAGACCCTCATTATAGAAAAAGAGCTAGGGTGGTCAGAGGAATAGAAAATCATATCAGAGCCCCTCCCCAAAACTATGCTATCTCTTTTAAAATTTGTCATACTGTGAGTTCCCATTGAGAGTTAAAGGCATTTGTGTTCCTATAGGGAAACATTTTCTATTGTAATTT